GTTTTTTTTTTTTTTTTTTGCTTGAGGCGGCAAAAAACCTGGAGCCGGCCCTGTTTCAAAGATAATGGCCAATCCCCTCAGCACCCTCACATGCATTAGCTCCGGTCGCATGGACTTGTGCACGTCCAGCTTTTCTAAATAGACCTTAACCTGTTCTTTCACCACTGAGGGCTGCTCACCTCCTCCCCATAGGGGGCTGCGCCCCCTCCCCCTGCACCCTCCAGCCCAGGGCCAGCACCCCCCTAGCTGGCTACCAGCACCCCCGCACCTCCCAGCTCACTGCCACCATCCCCTCCCCCCCAGCTCGGTGCCGGCGCTCCCCTCCCTGCCCTGTTCTCCCCCCCTCCCCGCGCTCCCCGCCAGCTCTCAGCTCTGGCAGTTTCCATCCCGCTGCCGCATCTGGCTGTGATTGTGGCCCTGGGCCGCTGGCTGCTCAGGCCGGGCTGCAGCCCGTGGGAGCCGTTCCCCGGCGTCTGGAGAGTGGCTCCAGGCAGCACCTCGGCGGGGGGAGAGCGGGGGGGGGGAGGCTGCTGCTGCACCCCCTCACCCCTGCTGCCCCCCTGCCCTGAGCCCCTCTGCCTGGCAGGGGCAGCCCCGTCAAACCTCCCCCGGGGGCCCCTGGCTGCTCCCGCTGTGCCGGGGCCCAGTCGTCAGGGCAAAGCAACCCCCCATGACGCCAGAGCCCCCCTCAGCCCCATGGCACCTGGAACAAGCAGCAGCAGGGCTGGCGTGGGGGCCTGAAGACTGGCGCGCAGGTGGCCCCCCCCCTCAGGCCTCTCTTCCGGGGGGGTTGAGCAATAACCAGCCCATCCCCCACTGGCTCTGACCCCCAGCGGAGCTGCCCCACGGCGCTGGGCAGAGAGAGCTGGCCTGGACCCCGCTGTCACAACCCCCTTTATTGGGATCCCGGCGCGCTGCCCCGAGGGGCCGGACAAGCCCGGGGGGTGAGGGGAGAGTCCCCCCAGCCACAGGAGGGTGGGGGTTCAGGTTGGGGAGGTGTCAGTGTCACCCTCACACGCCCACCGGCACCCCAAACCGGGCTCCCAGTGTCCACGGATCCGCCAGGACCCCAGCAGCAGAGGGGGGCTGGGTTGGGGTCCTCATGTCCCCTCTCCATGAGCCCGGGATCCTCGGCGTCGCCCCCGCCTCGCCCCCCAGACCGGTCCCCCCGGGCGCGGATCCGGCTCAGGTCCACACGCTGGCACCCACGGCGCAGGGACGGACCATGGCACCGACCCCGTCGTCTGCCCCTGCTGCTCCCGGGCGCCGGCAGTGCCCTCCGAGCGCCGGGCCCATCTCCCGCCATGCCAGCGAGTGTCTGTCCGGGGGTCCGGGCGCAGCGCTGGCAGGGGCAGGGGGCAGTCCTGGGCTGGAGGCTGCGGCGGGGCGGGCGAGCGGCGGTGTCTGCAGGTCCTGCTACAAGATCTGGGCCTCTGCGGAGAGGGGGAGACAGCAGGTTACAGGGGAGGGGCTCAGGGGACCCCCCCTGCCCCACTGGTCGGCACGGCCCCCATTGTCAGCCAGAACCGCCCTGCCTGTGAGCAGTGCCTGGCTTCCCGGCCCCCAATCTCAGTGCAGACGCTGCCCCCCGGCCTCGCCCCGGCTCTGATCCACCAACCCGCTGCCCCCCGGCTCTGATCCATCAGCGGGGGGAGGCCCCACAGCCTCCCTCTCGGCCCTGTCTCCCTGCCCGCCCCCCGCTACACAGCCCCACGCTGCCCCCCAACCCCCCGACACAGCCCCACGCCCGCCAGCCAGCCAGCACGCTGCCCCACGCCCGCCCCCCGACACAGCCCCACACTGCCCCACGCCCTTCCCCCCGGACCCCAGGTCACTCACTGGGCAGGGCCCTCATGTGCACGGCAGCTGCCAGGAAGTCGTGCTTCTTGGTCTCGTCTTTGCTGGGTTTTCTCAGACGGAGCCTGGGGGCAGAGCAGGGGGTTGGGGGGCGCTCAGGGGTCTCCAGGCGCTGGCCATAGCTTCAGCCAGGCCCCCCGCAGCCCAGAGGGGACCTGGCCAGCTGGTGCAGCCCCTTGCTCCGCAACCCCTTAGCGAGGATTGGTACCCGGTGCCCAGGAACGTCCCCCCGGATCACTAATGAATCCAGCCCCCACCAAGCCCTAGGTGACTCTGGGGCACACAGGGGGGGTTCCCTCGCATGTGGGGTGACTCTGGTTGTGGGGACACCCTGGGACATGGGGGGGTTTCCCTGGGGTGTGGGGTGACCCTGGGACATGGGGGGGTTTCCCTGGGGTGTGGGGTGACCCTGGGGCATGGGGGGATCCCTGGGGTGTGGGGTGACCCTGGGACACAGGGGGGGGTTCCCTGGCATGTGGGGTGAGTCTGGGTTGTGGGGTGACCAGCCAGGAGGGGTGGGTGGAAGGAGGGGTGCAGCCAGGCCCCGGGGCAGGGGACGCCCCAGCCTGGCAGGGATCCAGACCCATTGCCGGCTCCCACTGCTGCCCGGAGACGATTCTCCCGGCCAGGCCCCGCTCCACCCACCCCGGGCTTGGCCCTACCGAGCGCAGCCAGCCAGGGGCAGGGGAGGACCTGGGCTGGGGGCGCCAGGAGGCAGCCGGCCGGCAGCGGGGTGGCGACAGACCTGCCCGTGGGAGGACTGGGAACTGGGAGCCAGGAGCGGGGCTGGGCAGTGCCAGCTCAGGCTGCGTCCCCGGGGTGCCTGGCAGGCTCCGGCTCGAGGGATTCCTTAGTGGTGCCGCCCGCCCTGGCTATGTGCCCGCGGCCTGGCATGAGACGAGAGCTCCAGCCCGAGCCCCCCGTCCGCAGCCAGCTTCCCCGCACGGCTCGGGCTCTGCCCTCCTTCCAGCCGGGTGCCCGTCCTCAGCCCGCCTGCTGCTGGTGCCTGCCGACGGCGG